AATTCACCAACCTGACTTTTTATTGAGGAGAAGACTTTGAATGATCAGATAGATATTAGAACCATGAAAATGTTAAATGAAACTAAGAATGGATGAATGGATGAAAACAAAAATAAAGTTTTCTCTGAAATTTTCAGAGAACCATTAATTGTGATCAAAGAACAATTGACGCACATGAACAAACTATTAAAGCAACGTAAAATTTTGGAATAGAAATGCGTTGCTGCTATTACTTAAACGAGCAAAAGTGCTAGCACATTAAGTCGCCATAATTTAGCGGATAATGCATGTGTTTAAAAATCAAAAATTCGAAAGATCAAATCACCAATAGTTCAAATTTTGAATGAAATTCGAAAATTACTGAAGGTTTGACTAGTTGATCACAAAAAGAGGGATAGACCTCCCAGTACCAGGCCAAGGACTTTGAAAGATTACATTAATTACATTTACATTAAAATCGACTCAGGTTAAATTGGTATATAGGGCAGATTAGTATAGGGTAGAATGGTATAGGGTTTTTTGGAATAGGGTAGACTGTCCTGCCACCGAGAAGTCTGGTAGTTCGAGAAATGCCGAAGCAGTAACAAATCCTGTTGCTCGTTAACCGAGTACTAGGTTTCGTATCACTTACGCGGGTTTGAGACAAATGCCGTGCAATATAGTTTGTCATTTAAGCGTAAGCGGCAAATTAAATCAATCCAAAATCAAATGAGGCAACCAATTTGCTCCAATTAATAGATCACAAGACAAAAAAAGGTCATTTTGTACTGCTTTGTTTGTACTGTTATTTCTTAACCCATCTTTCCACACGCTATGTGAAGTAAACAATACTGCTCGTATATCAGGGCAAAGCCCTGAATGTTCCGACTGACCCTTATTTCATAACGAATAGGTTTTGGGGGAAAATGAAAACCTATCAATTTTGGACAAAATCAAAATGGGAAATTTGGAGTCGTACGAAATTTATATGACCAATTAGCTAAACTCAATTCAAATTTGAACACTTTTGTTTTGCTAGATAATTCGCCACGCATAATTAATTCGCGTTACGCTCTCAGCATTATGAATGAAGTCTTCAAAGCGCGCATAATTTAGTCGAGAAACAGGCCAATGTGGCAAATTTCAAACCCCTAGAACATTACAAAAAATGATTGGAGGTAGAATATCTTTTTATATTCGAACTCAGGAAGTCGAGATATTCAATGGGGTATGAAAAATTTTGCTAAAGAGTATTATTTCGATCGGCGAAAATTGATTGAATAAAAAACCACGCCGAGCATAAATATTCCGTTTTCTTCAAAATTCGGAACAAAAATGATATAATTTGCTGAATGGTTATCGGGAACAACCCGGACTTCAATTTGACACAAGCAGTCTTGTGGTTCGTGCTCAGGAAGGATTGAGTCAATAAATCTTGGAAAACTCATTTAAACCATTCAGCTACATCGGATCTACTTAACAATCTACTCCCCCCCCCCCCTATTGTATCTACTAACGAATATCGACTCCGGTAAAAAAAAAACAGTAAATTCGCACAAGAGTGTTGTATATAAATTCGAATTTTGCTGCATTCTGATTGGTCGAAAACTCGCTGCAAGTAATCTACTTAACAATCCCCCCTTCTTGAAGGGGGTGGAGAGATTGTTAAGTAGATTCGCTTATCTAATTTCTAACTGAAATTAATTAATCACTATTAATTTCAAATGAGTAATCACGATATGCCCAGTAAATAAAACTTTAACTACTGTGAATTATCAAATTTGTTGCGTTTTTTAAAAAATATATAAAACCTTGATACTTCTTGACAAAGAATCCTAAATCTGCATATCGCAAAATGAAGATTCAATTGTTCCGACTGTCATTTAGCATCGATGAAGAGTTTGATCAGGATATTTTAAGAAAATCTGCGGAAAAAATGAATATTCTTAATTCTTAATTTTATCCTTTCACACGCTATGTGAAGTATAAATTTTGCTTAATCTATAATTTTGCTTAATAATTTATTATGCCTCTTAAATTTCAAAAGCAAATAAATTGCTCGTCATTTATTTCAGATATGCTAAAATTAAGGTTTTTCGAGTTTTTTTGCATTTTTGTTACTTTTTTTTCTTGCACGATATGTAAAGTATACAATGTGATGCATTTTGTCTCTGATAACGTGACTACGAGAGCAAAATGGTTGCTTTGATTTATTTTTTAACGAGTTAGTCTGCATTTTATTTTTTAAAAGGACTATATAAACTGCAGCTTCATTATCCCAATTTCAGTTTTTTGGTCAAAGCATTCAACAGTTCAATACTTTATATATTCAGCACGAATAGTTGGGAATAAATGTTTTTTTTATATTGAGCGTTGGTCATGGAAACATTTAAGTGGTGAAAAAATATATGCCAAAAACGGTCAGTTGAAAAATCGAAGTCTGGAGAAAATAACCACCTGAGCCCAATTATTCAGTCATTTTCTTCGAAAAAGTTAAGAAACCAAATGAAGAAAAGTAAAACAATAACGAATGGTAAAGATAATAATTGAAACAAAAGAACCTGTTTTGACCAAAAACAGGTCAAAAAAAGCCATTTTGGGGCACTTTTTCGAAAATTAAGACCAAAAAATTGAGCTCGCCATCAAAATAAGAATATACTGGCGCCAATGGCGCTTTTAGAAAAATTTTAGAGTTGGTCGGGCTAATATAGATGTCATCAAATAATATCAGAGGGAATACCCTTTGGTTGGCGAGAAGGTCAAACCCTTGAAAAGAAGCATCCAGATCCCCCCCTCCCCCCTGTTGAATGCTTTGACCAAAAAACTGAAATTACTATACTGGCGCCAAATACGCCCCTGGTTGCAGCACTGGTACCACTTTAAAATTCTTCACGCAAAAAACGGCCTTGAGATAAGAAAAAAAAATTAGCTTCGCTGAACATAAACAGCTAAGTCGGGTATGTTGGGGAATTAAATTGGATAGCCTTTGACAGATCCTCTGCGAATCGCAGAAACCACAAGTATGTTCTAGTTCTTTAGCATTCTTAAATTTCAGTTTTTTTTTCGATATCTTGTAATTTGATCTGTAGGCCAACGCAGATGTGCTTAGCATTGTATATTTGTCTGCTTATTTTCATGAGTTTAAAAAATAACGCGTAGCAGCTCAAACTATGCAGTCATTCATCAGAAAATAAAATCTGTGTATAAAATGCTCAACTATCAGAAGTCTATGTTGTTTGCGTGTAATAGTGGAAATTTAGACGTTATTTTGGACTGTATCAAGGTAAGAAAATGACAATATTTTTTGTCAAACGCTACAAGCAGCCTCTTTGATATTGACGACCTGCTCACTCTATTCTTATTCGTACATCTAGATCCTTGAGCACAATTCAGTTGGGGCACTCTTTTTTTGTGTCAAAAGTTTGTGAACATTTATAAATGAATGTTTTGGGGTTCGAATAATCTTTGCCAGGTTCTAAGTGGATTCATTCCTTTTGTTAATCATTGTCGTACATAAAATTCTCTTCAACCTGAGCTGGTGGCGAATTTTGTCTAGAAATATCAAATAATGTTATATGTCTCAAAAAAAGCTATAAAATAGTCTGAACGGCGCCTCGAAGTAGCGTCTTGCCTCATTCTGTATCGAAGCCCAATTTTAATTTTTGAAGCGCAACTTCACCTTAAAAGATTGTATTTCAAGCAGACCATCACAGAAGCTTCCGACCTTGTTCTCATTCTCATTTTAGCCTCAACTAAAATTCTCTTTTAGGCTGGTGCCAACGTAGATACCAAAAATGACCTTGGCGGAAGAACGGCTCTTCACGAAGCCTGTATTGGAGGTCATGCTCATGTGGTCAAGTACTTGACCTCAGTCGTGAGTTCTTGTGACGTAACTGATGGTCAAGGTCAAACGGCAGCTCATTTGGCTGCCTTCCACGGGGAGTCACAGTGTCTAGAGGAACTGGCTCGAGCACGTTAGTTTTTCCGGCTGACTGCTGCTAGCATATTTGAAGCGCAAACTTTCAGAAAAGAATTTATGTACTGGCTGTTCGATATAAATTTAACGTTTTCATAACAATTCAAATAAACTAAAAAGGAATCTCGTACAGTCAAAAAAAAGCAAAAAACGTTCAAAATACGATTTTTGCTACAAAAACTTCTGATAATCAAATTTCAATTTGGATAATCTCGACCACTGTGTTATACAGGGGCCCTCTTGCACCAGACAGATAACCAGGGCAAAACTCCGGCCCACCTGGCGGCTTCCAGGAATCATCTTAGTGCTCTGCAGACCCTCAACAATTTCAACTGTGATCTGGACAACGCAGACGAGAGTGGAAAGACGCCAGCACACTACGCCGCACAGGCCGGAGGTGAATTTCAAACTTAACTTTGATGCGACCTTATGGGTTAAATCATTTTTATTTCTTTTAGTTTTTCGAGCTGAGAGATGTCTGGAAATGAAAAAATATTTTGCTAACAGCAAATCCTCAACATTGGGCTATAAAACAAATGAGTGGGTTGTGACGACCCTTCATTGGCATTATTCAGATAGTTTCTATCTATCTTTTTCTTGAAACTCTTCGAAATAAACGCTTTACAATCATTCTGGTTAGTGGCAGAAAAACCAAAACATGAAAAATTTAATCTGTAATGTGCGTGTTTTGGATGACTTTTCCAAATTGACATCTTTTGAGCTACTGCTTTTTTTTAATTTGGAAAACTAAGAGGCCCCTTTTTCATTAACATTTAAGCACCTCAGCAGCGAAAAAAAATTGTTCGGTTTTTTTTCTGTTGAACGATACAATATGTCATCAATACTCGCCTAAAACGAACAAGATTGCTCGTATCGGGGCGAAACCCTGAACGTTGTGACTGCCTTTTAATGTCTATAGAGTAGTGTTTGCTTTTAACAAAAATGATGAACTTAAAAAAAAACCATAACAAATTTTTTTTTGAAAACCTGTAAAATTCAAAGTGACAATTTCAGCACAAGGTAAAGTGTTTTTTGGATCAAAATGGATGCCTCAAATTCGGAACAATTTTGATACAGATTAAAACTACGATTACGCGTTAATAGTACAAAACATATCGCGCAAGTTGGCAATCTTTAAAACCTCATAACATACAAAAAAACATCACATATCACAGGTTAAATACAAATAAAAAGTGAGCTCACAACAACAAAACATTTCGGATGATGTAGGGAAATGCTTTCAAGATCAAGAGTTGCTTGGGGTAAAAATTTACTTGGGGTAAAAACTGCTGCCAAAAATATATGATTGTAAATAAAATCGTTGCAAAGCATTAGAATTCCGCAGTGAAGGATTATAATCGATTTTTGTGGTCGAAAATGTTGGAGTTATAACTGACTATTATTACACTTTGGGACCACGCAATTGATTATAACCCAGTATAATCCATTAATTTTACAGAAAAAAATATCAGTTATAACCCATTTGAAATCCATTAAAATTGAATATAATGGATTATAATCTTCAAAAATAAATGCAAAATTTTTTGCAAACTGTGCAGTTTCTTCTGCAATACTCACCGCCTGCTTGATTTCTAAACCAACCCGTATTTAGTTTTTTTTCAAAACCATATTTTGCACCCCAACCTACGCCACCCCACCTACCATCTGCCTAAACCCCCCCCCCCCCCCCCCACATCATATCCCCCACAACCTACACCTACCCATCTACTCCACCCCCTGGGGGTTTTCACTTATTTCCGGTTATTTTCCAGAAGATTTAACATTTTATAAGGTAATCCTAAATAAAAGGTAAGTTGCGAGGTGGTAGGTGAACAAATGGTAAGAATGTGGTAAGAATGGTGATATTTAGTCCGAAGTTTTTAGGGGGAGGGGTAGACAAGTCGAAAAAAGACAAATAGAAAACAAAACAATTTTTTGCTGTTGCAAAACGTAAAACTCAAGTCGGGAATCATATCATGATCAACTTTCCCCCTTTTGGTTTTTTTTATTTTGACTGTGAAATTTTTACATGTTGGACTAATGATTCCTAGAAATTGGTATGAGGATTTTTGCTAAATCAATTTTTTCAAATACAATGTCACTGACTAGGTTAACTTATTTTTTTATCAGAGATCAAGTTGTAGAACTTAAAAATCTTTTTTAACTTGAATTTATACACTACTAATAATCAATCTTTTATATGATTTGTCCGAAAACAAACGACTTTCATTTTGATTGTATTTTTCGATGATTCGTGGAATTGAATAGACAATTGAAGATGTTTTGTACCGTTTTCTCTAGATTTAAACCTGAAAATTTATTTTGCAATCATATGCAGTAAACATTTTTGTGAATTAATTTTAAACTTTTGGGTTTTCCTTGATAACTATGTCGTTACGAAGCAAAAAATTGCCGGCAGCCTAGCAAATTTAGGCCAATTGGGGTTTTGATAATTTTTTTTAAAGAGCTCGGAGAACAAAATTTGACCCAACCAGAAAGTTCAAACATTTCAAAAACTTTTAAAAACCACTTCCTCTAAAAAATCCAACATCATTAATAATATTACCTGTTTGTTGAAGCTTTTTACTTATCCGCCCAGCCGTGAGAACAAAAATAAACCTTAAAAGCTGTGAGAAAAAGTAAAATTAATTTGAAAACAAATTGGTTCTCGAAACACTTTGTTTTTCTTTTCATTTAGCCGACAGCTATATTTTTCAAAGTAGCGTTCAGCTTTTCATACTTTTTATGGAGTTTAAGTTGATGGCAGGTAGCTTTTTGCTTTCTACGATAATTTGCTTTTTTGATTTCACCAACAACTACATTGTTTCTTGAAATAATAAAAACAACAAAGGTTTGGACTAATCTCAACTATCAAAAAGATGGTAAATTATAATAAACGGTTTTCTTATAAATAAAACCCTCAACCAATTAAATTATAAAAATTTAATCAAATAAACAGATTAGAAAACATCTATGCGTCCATTCATTCTGTGATGAGAACAAGTAATCATGTCTACAAGGAGTCCTTTCCGTCCTTCATCGCAACTGCCGCTCTCTTACACAGCAACATCCCATTGTGAATCATATCGGTCAGGTCGGAACAGCCGCCTGAAAAACACAACTCAAAGTGTAGTTTTAGTTGTTTTCTAAAATTTTCTAAAAGATTTCAGAAAACTGTTTCCGAGGAGACATCAAACTGCTCATATATTGCTATCGTGGTTGTTTTTACAAAACTTTCTCTTTTTTCAAACAATTCACGATAATTTTTATAGAACGTACTGTAAAAAACATATATTTTTGTGTGCATTTTTGAGAGTGAAATGTTCATTGCATGGTTTCAATAAACATAACCGTTTTGATAAGAATTTCTTGAGTCAACAATTGGATTGTGACCTAGTGATGGTTGTAACTTAGTATCGAACAAATCGACTGCTGGACTCAAACTAGGCTTGTCATTTGCTATCATGTTCTTGTAGTGCACCTATGGATATCGCATAAACTCCAAAAAAAATCACCCTTACGAAAATTTTGTTGGACAATTAAAAAGCGGCTTGATTTCTTTAACCATAAAATATTGTCATAGCTCTCCTGTTTTTTGGAAACTTACCTATCAGAGCTGAGAATGGGAGGCAAAACACGTAGAACCCGGCTAGAAAGAAAGCTAGAGGCCATAAGAAGAACCAGAGAAGCAACAGCCATATCAGAGACCAAACTACATTGCCCATCTTTAGTTTCTGTTCTCAATCGAGTTTTCGCAGTCGTTTAAATAAGTTGCCACTTGAATTCAAGTAGGTTGGAATTAAGCGCTCAGACTTGTACCAGGTTTCAAACTGAGACAGTCCTATTTATCTAGAATCACTAAAGAAAAAGTTGTGAGAAAATCGATAACGTTTAAATGATTTCCAAATAAACCTATCGTCAAACTGCATAAAGCCATCAGAGAACTTTAAAGTTTTCTGGCAAATATTTGAATTGAAGTTCAGAATCAAATCGGAACATCGGTTTTTAATGACCAAATTACACACAAACATGTGAGCAGACAAGTGTAGATTAGAGCAATATCAATCATCTAGCTTATCATTGATGTGTAAACTCTGTGACTTGTGAAGTTTCTCAGACAACCACTTGAAGTAGGAGAAACAATCCTGAGCTATGATGATTTTGTAGCTACTCATCTGCAGATCTTCAAATGATCTTTTTTTCATTTTCAGGGTTGCAAAAGACCCCCTTGATGGAATCTTGATGAAGTATTTTATGAAAATCTAATGAAAAAGCTTTGATACTCTAAAAATTTGTGTTGACTCACCAAAAGTTTGAGTTCATTGACCGTCAAACGCTGCATTTTTTTCTAGATAAATTATTCAATGATATCGAAGTTTGTTGAAAAATCAACCCAAGTATTTTTCCATGAACAAAATTCTACGGACAAACCTCAGTTGGGATAATAAATACTATTAGACTGCTCGTATCAGGGCACGCCTAATTTTGATAACTTAATTTACGCTTAATTTTTATGCTTAAGTTTTTACGCTTAATTTTGATATCTTCTCGAATTTATGATGTTTTTCTAAGATGCCATCTTTGATTTTCCTATTTTAGGTTACAAATTTTAGTTTGGATTGTTAAAGCTATCAGCTATTTAGAACAGGTGTTAATTAGAGCAAAATATGATGCTTTATGAGCTGGCACTCAAAGAAGTTTTTTTTTCTTAAAATTTTGAACATTGATCTCATGTTTTAAAAAATAAAACAAATAACAAATTCTTCAATTTTTATCTTACATTTCATTATAACAAACAAAATTTTTGAAAGTTTTTGATGTAATTTTTTGTCCGTTGCATAGTTTTCTTCAATATAATAAAAATTGACTTTTGTTGTTGGAACAATTGATTTTGTTAGACTTAATTTTGTGAAGAAATCGGGAACCTTTTTTGGATTAATACGCTTGAAAGCAGTTGATTTATTGTTCTGACCATTTGAAAAATGGGTAAAAAAAATTGTATTCGGTTGTGTTTTAGTTTTTTTTTTCTTTTTTTTTGGTTTTCTACGCAAAATTAGCTACCAAACATGTTCATCGGAGAGTGTTGAGTGATATCTTATATTAAAGCACTTTTAGTCATGATTCGAACGACATTGAAAAACTTTGAAAAAACTGTGTGTCTAGAAAAACCGTTTTGAAAGTAGTTTCGGTTTTTTGTCTTAATTCGAGCGAATAACGCAAGCAAGCAGGCTTACAGTAGCTGATTTTAATGGCTTAAAAGCATGCAATAGCTTAATCTAAGCCGTAAAAATTAGTTTTACTCGAGTTAAGTTTAGTTTCTTTTGCACATTTTTGGGATAAAAAAGTTCACCAAAAATTCAAAAAGTTGCAAAAAAATGAAAAATTGTGAATTTTCTTTATTTTTTTGTTATGCTAGTCCTTTTTCTTCAAAAGTTGTTTACCAATTTGCATTTTTTATGACTGTCGAAAGTGCCAGGGCTCCACTAGTTTTTAGTTCAGATCCTTTTCATCACACCACACCGAAAAAAGGACACTAATTTGAAAAAAAATTTGTTGTATTTTCTTAGACTATGTAAGAAACATTCTGTGCTAATTGCACAGTAACCGGCTATCCTTGTTCTGTTTGCTTTTAGCATTTGCAATTATTAAAAGATATCAAACTCAAAAAAGACTTTTTCGCCTTTGTTTGAATGGTTCGCTCTATTTCGCCTATTTCCTAGGAGCTGTAGAGTGTTTTACAGATAGTTGTTTGAAGTTGTTTGGAGGGCAAAAACTGGTCAGCGGGTGTAATCTCTCGGTCGTTTCAGCCTTCGAGTGTCTGAATTTCCTGATCAAGCAGGACGTGAACATCCGAGAGAGTGATTTGCTCGGTCAGCAGCCGGTGCATCTGGCGGCAGCACACAATAGAATCAAGTGTCTCCGGGGTCTCATTACAAAAGCAAGGTGTGAATGGGACTGTGAGGACAGACGGGGAAGAACTACTGCACATTTGGTTAGTTGAAGGCCACGGGAGGCAATTTGTCGTTATTACCCTCAGTTTGTCTTCTCGCGCAGAAGCCCAGAAATATGTGCGGACAAAATACGAACTTATGTTTAAAGTCAATGCGCTGTGTTATTAATCATGATAAATTTGTTTGAAATTAGATAGGAGTTTCAAATTTGGTTTTAATGAGGCTCTAAACTAGTTAAAATAGAAAAATTAAAACGACTAGATGGAGAGTTTTTTATCGATAGATTATGCAAGTAACATCAATAGGGCCTTCTGCAGTGTTTAGTTGTTTTGAAAACTTTAGTTATTTTGTTTCAGGCTGCAGTGCATGGATCCATAGATTGTCTTCATTGGTTGCTTGAATACTACGGCGACCCCAATGTAGTCGACCGTAAGAAAAAACTTTTGAAATTGATTAAAATAATCAAAATTATCGCAATATACTAGGAAGAATTTCAGTTTTTGGGTTTTAGCAGAAAAATTGTAATTGCACCAGGCCCAGAAACTTAATTTTGCACCAGGTGCAGAGAGTCATTGTTATTTTTATCTTCAAATCTCGTTAATACATCAATCATATCATGAGTCAAGGAATCGTCAGAAATTGACACTACCAATCTTTTCTCAAATAGCCTTACAGTTAATTTTTGATTAAAATTATGAATGCATTAAGCATTTAGTATAATGACTATGAAATAAGGGCTCTTTTTCCTTTTCCCCCCACCTGCAAATTTTTATATTTGAAGTTAGTGTCCACTTTGTCCGATTGTCATGAAAATTGACATGCAGACTAATTAGGCCATGACAAACATATTTGATCTTCATAATTAACCTTGTAAAACCACTCGTTAGACCATAAATTTTATGTTTGAGTGAGGTGGGGGGGGGGGGGGGGTGGGGGGGAGGAAAAAGAGCCGAAATGAGAATAACTATACAAATATGTTGCAGGAGAGGGTAACACAGTGACTCACTTGGCAGCTGCATTCGGGAAGGGAGACTGCTTCAATTGTTGTCTGCAACATGGAGGCAACCTGGAACTGAAGAATGCGAGAGACGAGACTCCGTTTGATTGTGCGAAACGCAAGGGTCACCCAGTGTCCATTCAGAAAGCACTCACAAACACGGTTACAGCCAGAAAATTTTGATTTAATTTAAAGTACAGGGCATTAATTGGTAATTCTATGAAGGCTTGTTAACCAAACTTTCAACTTGAAAAATGCCTTGTTTGATTGTTTTTTTCCAAAACTCAATCAGTTTCAAGAGTTCCAAATTTGTTCCAAAAGCTTGCCCCATAAAAAGTTTGAAAAAAAATTGAAAAATTTGCCACATAATTGGTAATTTTTAGTCTCCTAGATGATTTTTATGCCCAGGATCGTACAATTCTCATTTTAAGTAATACTTGATTACACTTTGAGCCAAAGAGGAAACAAGTTAAGTTATTTCTAGGTCAAATGTCAGTTTTGCGTGGAGAAACACCAGCAGTTTATGTGGGAAGTCAACCACCCACAGCCAGAAGCCTCCAGAAATATCCAGAAAGTGTCCAAGGTAGCCTACAAGCCAGTGATGCCTAAGCAGCAGTTCATTGAACACGAGAACATTACCAGGTAAATAGCGCGTGTTTTTTTTTCAATGGAAAATCTACTGCAAAATTGAACCCACTGAAAATCCGCGAATATACTGCAAGTTTAAAGCCGCCGAAAGCTGAATAGCAACGCTCGAAGTTCTCGGCGATTAAAATATTTAAATTAAAAAGCCTCATGTATTCCAACTGCATGTGATGTCTTGCATTAAGCGAGAGTCATCTATAGTTGTCCAACCCGTACAGCATCAGAATTTTGCCGGTTTTATTTTCGTTAGTCAAGGTATCTCTTACTTTGCTTTTGCTTCAGGCAACCGACAAGCGAAGTGGAGCTGAACAAAATAAAAGCGGAGAAGAAAAAACTCGACTTCCTACCAAAGAAAGACATTGTAGCGCAGTTCTATGGGAAATTTTAATTATTCCATGAAAGTTAACTCTTCAAAGTTCATGGATTTATTTAGAATTTGAAAATGAATTTAAATTTTCTAACACTAAATGCAGAAACTGGACATGATGATAAGCTTTCCTGTTTCTCATGAAGGGCTTTTTATACAAATATTTTGAAGCCATGACGATTTTAGACTGAACGCTGAAATAATTTTATATTCAGTTCATTTCGGCCAAAAAAAAACAGATTTTTCGTGGTAATTTCTGAAAAATTTGCTGCAGATCATTCTCTTGTTGAATACTTGATTGCTTCACAACATAACGAATTACTCTTAAAAATAATTTGACTGATCGTATCCGTGATTAAAATCAGAACAGTTCCAAAATACCAGACATCAATTAAAAAATCTAATTAGGTTTTTTCAATTTGAAAAAAAAACAGTGCTGAGGGAGCAAGCTAATAAACAGTTGCGTGCCAAAAAGGAATTTAGCTCTCTCCATTTAGTTCAAGACAGACTAAATGCGGAAATAACTTTTATTCTGTAACTTCTGTTCATTTCTGCCCAAATAACGTTTTTTTTTAGAATTTGATTGCTTCACAAACTAAATAACTTTAAATGAATTTTATTGTACAAACTATGCTTTGGCTCGCCAATATCAATAGTTTTCTGAACGAACTAAGTTAAAAATCTAAGTTTACAAATTTAGCCACCCGTACCGAGCGGGTTTTTTATACGAGATCTGAAATTCTTTATTTCTTACTTAACTTGATTCTCATTATTTCTTATATTGGTTCTTCGTTGTTTCAGATCTGAATAAGAATTTGCGAATTTCAGATCTGAAATAACCATGAAAATCAAAACTTCAGATCTGAAAGTAGATCTGAAAAACCTTTTGTTAAATTACAATTTATACATTTGGAGCAAACAATTGAATTTTCATTTTTTGTTGTTTCTGCAATATGCAACTATGCTTAGATTAATTAGCGGTAAGACACTCCGAATAATTACCCAAACAGTTTTTTTTATTTTCAATGTTTTGTTCGACAATTTTGAAAAGTTTTCAAATATTAATAGAAGACCTATCAAACTTTTGATTTCCTGCGGTACTTATGCGTTTTGGATGTTTATATCATGCTTTAGGAAATTTATTTTAGCAGCCTCCAAATGGAGACTACTGAGCACCTGCTAGCCGCTAATAGGAGCTATACAACACATGAGAACAGCTAATATTGTGTCAAAATCCTTGATTTCCCAGTTCCGAAGTATACCAATCGTAGAGTACCCAAGTGTTATTTGATCATTTCACAACCTTTTTCAGATTTTAAATTTAGATCTGAAACAGATTATTTCAGATCTGAATTGGGAACAGGCAGTTCCTGTGCAAGTGGTCGCGAGTATTTTAGAAAACAAAAAAATACAACGTTCTGAATGTTTTTTGTGGGTTTAGCTTGACATGAGAGGTACAAAAAACCAGCATAGAAATATTATAAAGGGCTTTAACTAGCTGAATTTATACTTGAACAGTTTGAGCAAAAGCAAAAAATTACTTTTTTGAATTTTTTGTATGAGAGGGCGCTAAATTTTTGGTACAACAGCAGTTTCTGCCAGAATCGCCCTAGATATAATCTAGAGACACCTCCGGTAGAAATTCAAACTAATTTTGATTGAAGATTATTAAGCAAAGTCTATTGAAAGTTTCACCACCTTAAAAAATTTTTACCCTTTGAAAATGGCTGCTGCGTACAAAGTTTTGCCAAACATGTTTTTTCTTGTGAGTTGACTAGAACCGCGCTTCGCATCGTTAAAAATTGGGCACACCTTGCGCGCACCAATGGTCCGAAGCATCTCATTTGACATTAGTATGTTTTCAAGAGATCAATTGCAACCGTTCCCAGAATTGCAACCGTTCAAAGTCATTAGCTGATCTCCATCTAATAATAGACCTTTTGATGCATTCAATAAGTTAGGAATTTTGTTGTTTGTTTCATTAATACAATGGTTTTTAAAGAACATTTTTTTTGCGAGGGAAGACACCAACATACCAGCTGTTCAATCAATGATTGAGAACTGGTGATTTTTTTTCAGTTTTCTTGGTTGAAATTAGTTGCCGGATTATAGAGTGCTCTGAAGTACCGACATTTCAACAGAAAGGCAGTGTTTCATACATTTCAACGCCCCTTTTTAATAGCTTTTTCCTCGTGCAATAAAAGAATCACTTTTTAATTTTTCTATCTCCTTTTCTTTAATCACTCTTTATAATATCATATTCGGTTACGTTATTTTTTGAAACGATGAAGTGTTTTGAAAAAACCAACCGGAATTAACTCAATTCGTTTTGTTATTGTGAAAATACTTTACTTCTTAAAAAGCCCAACTGTTTCTCTTAACTTTTGGCACGTCGTTTTGACTTTATATTGTAATTGGTCCCTTTGACAATATCAAATGGGATTGCTTAGTATTCTCTGATTTTCAGTTTTTTATGAAAACTTACTAAATTGCCTTAATTTAACCCATTTTTACATAAAATTCGAGATATATTTTTCTTTTTAAATGTACAAAAACTTCATTCACTAGAAGGCACTTGCTGATTTTAAGATCTTCTAGAAACTGGAACTGGAACAAGTTTTAAAAAAGTATCTAAAAGTATCTAAAAGTATGCGTAAGCATGTAGTTTTGTTGATGCTGACGAACTGCCAATTATTAGGTTATAACGCAAACACATTTAAAAAAGACCCACGTAGTTTTCCCCAATTTTTAGCCAAGAGAGTTTTGTATTAATTTCGTTGTATACAAGCAACATGTACAATTGTAAAATTTAGTAACATTTTATTGTTCCAACTTTCGATACGAAAGTAACGGAATATTTGTGCTCGGGGTGGGTTTTTTTTTCTTCAGACAAATTTCGACTTTTTAACTAGCCATTTTTGACCAAATTTTTTATATCATTCAAAAGGTATTGTTGTCCTGAGCTTAAATTTGAAAAGATATTTCACATGTGATCATTTTTCGTGAAGTTATGAGGGTTTAAAGATTGCCATTTTGGCCATTTTGACCAATTTGGGACAATTAACGCGCGATATAATTCGCGCTATTAACGCGTAAGCGGAGATTTAATCCGTCTTTTATCGTCAACCAATGGTTCCAAATTGGTTGAACGAAGCTTATTTGCCATAATTGATTCGTTACAACGAATGAAATCTCTCTTTTTGTACTTTATATGGCGTGTGGGGGGATGACTTACATAAAAAATTCAAATTTTAGAAAAAAAAATTTCATTTTCTTTTATTTCATTTAATTTTTTTATGTTATTACTGCTGCTCCATAAACCTTAAAAGGCAGTCGGAACATTCAGGGCTTCGCCCTGATACGAGCAGTCTTGTTTTATAGGAAACTGAATTGAAAACTCAATCGATGGACGCGTAATTGAAACTCTGAAGACAATTCTCTTGAAATTACCGTGTCTAAGAGTTTCCTGGTACATTTACGACGCTACTTTTTGCTTTTCTTATCATTTTCTTTTCTATAAACCTTTTTCTATCTTGAAAAAAAAACGCTGACGTACTTTACTCTTTGTCAGTGTGATAATAATTAAAAGGTGTTGTCTAATTAAAAGTAAGCGAGTTCAGCGTAACTAAGTTTGGTTGAAAACCACACATTTTAATTGAATTCAAATCGTTACTTTTTATTTATTGTTCCGAGTTTCGATACGAAAGTAACGGAATATTTGTGCTCGGGGTGGGTTTTTTTTCTTCAGACAAATTTCGACTTTTTAACTAGCCATTTTTGACGATTTTTTTTTTAATATCAGTCAAAAGGTATTGTTGTCTTGAGCTTAAATTTGAAAAGATATTTCACCTGTGATCATTTTTCTAAAAGTTACGAGGGTTTAAAGGTTGCCAGTTTGGCCATTTTGACCAATTTGGGACTATTAACGCGCGATATAATTCGCGCTATTAACGCGTAAGCGGAGATTTGATCCGTCTTAGAAATCGTTCCAAATTGGTTGAAAGAAGCTTATTTGCCATAATTGATTTGTTACAAGAAGCAAAATCTATCCTTTTGTACTTTATATGGCGTGTGGGGGATGAACTTCATAAAAAATTCAAATTTTAGAAAAAAAAATTTCATTTAATTTTATTACATTTAATTTTTTTTATAGGTTATTACTGCTCCATAAACATTAAAAGGCAGTCGGAACATTCAGGGCTTCGCCCTGATACGAGCAGTCTTGTTTCAAGTTTAGAATAGTTAGATCAATAGACTAATTTATTAGGGCGGGCCATTTTTTGGAACAAGTCTAGGGTTCACCAGCGGATGTCGCCAAAAAATGCAACATACCCAGCTGAGAACAAAAATGGATTCAGTATATCTTCTTAAACAACATGAAGTAGTACGATAACCAAAGAAAAAAATTTTGAGAGAAAAGCTACCACCCGGCGAAGCCATAAACCAATTTTCGATCGACAAAAAGGAAAATTCTAAGCATTTCGAAATGACAAATGATTTGTAAACCTGCAAAATTTAAAAATTGGAATTATTTCTCAAAGAGATTCAACGTTTGCTGTAGATAGAACAAATTATTGTATGAGATGGGGTGGAAAAACTGTTAATGACCACATCGCAGCGTGTCGAGCAAAAGACAGTTTGTACAGCTAGTAATTTCTCTGTACAGCCTGTAATTTTAAACTAAATTTTTCAAAAAAAAATTCCAGAAGAAAAAATGTAATTATTCTCGAAAATGAAAAAGTCAAAATTAATGAATATACACATCCGTCGGATTAGCCTGCTGTAAAAAAAATCTTTGAAAAGAGTGTTGTGACTTTGATAGTTAGTTTCGACTCACGGTATTGAACGTGACAGCAATATTTGATGAAGAGGGAAAAGAATTGATTAAACTGCTCAATATTGAATTAGTAAAGGCAAATTTATTCCATATGAACTGTCTGACAGGCTGACTCGGCTAGACCGGTTATTTTTTTAAGAGTTTTTTCACGCTTCAAAACTGAGAGATACATAAACGAAGATCAACCAGGTGCCAAGGCAATGAAAGGCCTGTGGTGTAAGTTCACGGCTGACCCCAAATGATAGCGGGGCCTACATTGGCTCAATCAGTTCCAATGTATGATTTTTCCAGAAAAATGCATTCTTTATTACAGACGGTCATGAACGCAACATCCTGAGATTCAAATTCCCGAAGAATTTATTCCACACATCAAGAACAGCTCAAAAAATTAGCCGGACTTTAATTCAGTTTATTTGTTCTAAACAGAGACAAAGTCGCATACAGTCAAATTAGCTAACAGTAAAATCCTTCGGAAATCAGAAATAGCTATTCATGATGATTCAACAGAAGGTCGAAAGTTTTAATGAAGCATAACCACACCCGCTTTTAATTCATTCCCTGAATTATGCACGATAACATCGAAGAAAAGACGAGTGGCATCATGAAAAAAAAGAAGTAGCCATTACTCCGTCGGACAATCTAACGACTTAAATGAAGTGTTAAGAATATAACCGAGGACCGACCACAGAGCAAAGGCGAAAACGTGATATTAGGCAGTAGGAACGATAAAAAGATCAATTCCTCAGGTTATTGGCCTGAAAATTATATCAATTTACTATTCCTTATCTTAGATTTCAGCAATTGAGATTGGACTATTGGTGTTTTTCCTTACAGTGAGGAGAAAAAATTATAAAAAAAGTTACTTATGAGGCTCACACGCTAAATCAAATGTTTCCAGAAGTAACATCATTTACTCGGATACCCCAATTAAAATCAAATTTAGCGACTTAGGTTACTAACAAGAAGGAGCTTTTACGTCAGCCTAGCACCGACAACGACAGCAGACAGACTTGGAAGCACGGAGTCGGTTTCAACCCAACACCGATTGGTTAGAACGATTCTCCCTTGGAGCAAAACCTACAAGCCAGCTAAAACATAGCAAAACCCAAAGTATACGAAATAGACTTTGACTCTTCAGCAACGGAATTCCCTGTGTACCAAATTGCATATTCACCAGAAGGTAATTCTTTTTGCTTTTCATCTAAACCACTCTTTTCATCGATTTTAAAGATTTTGAATGTGAAACTCTTCATGTATTAATTTTTGGAAATCTTAACCCAGATTAAATTTAATCTTTTTATGTTAAACTCCATCGGATTCAAAGATCTAACTAGTCGTTAATTTATAATTATATTCAAGAACTTTTTATCACTAACTGAAAACCGTGCTACTAATTCATGCCATCATGGCCCATGCAAATTGAAGTTTTGTCCAGCGGACTCTTTTCCTTTTTTATTCACTCTTTGCTAGTTTCGTCGGATACGACCAGTTTTACATCAGATTACTAACCAAGTCTTCATAGGTCCAACTTTTGTGCAGTTTCTAGAGTTACTAGTTTCGATTAGTTAGCTTAGCCATTTTAAGCACCATTGAGTTTTTATTCAGAGGGGGAAAAGGATCATTAGTGTATTCCTTATTCAGAGTTAAATGCACAATTTACAGTTTTAGTACGTTTACAGCTTTCCCTAACTAGGGATGTGTTGTGATTGTCTACTTTTTCTCATTTTTTACAATACATTAAAAATTGAACGGCATTCTTAGAAGGGTTTTTGCGGTTTTAGTACTTTAGGAAAACTGTGAACGGCACTTTCGAACTGTTTGCGCGTGTTTTTTTACAAAATCTCGTCTGCGGCGAAATTAAGTTTTGCAATATGTTGTCTTTATATTGTTTTGTGAGGCCTCTGAAGATTGTTGTGTGTGTTTTTTCAAAAACCTCATCTGCGGCGAAATTAAATTTAGAAAAATAGTACCCTTATATTGTTTTGTCAGGCCTGGGAAATTTTTTGAAAATCCGACCACCCCTCGAAAAATCCTAAATCTGCCCTCATACAGTTCTACCCAAAGAAGACCCATAGGAAAAATTTGCGAGTCATGATTCACAAGGGCGTCATTAATCCTCCATTTTTTGCCAATTCAGGGCACGCCACCTGTTATAGATCATCCTAACAGTTGAATCAAATTGAACTTTTTTTTGAAGTTATGGCAATCTTCACGTACTTATGTTGTTAAACTAGCTGGAAAATTTCGGAGAAATACAAAGACAAATTCAGAAAGTCTTGACTATATTTATTTGCTTTTCCCGTGCTGCGGCTCTAAAGACTTCCGGTGCGATTCGGAAGATAACAAAACGTTTTGTTATGCATGAAAAACGCAAGCCAAGCGATTAGTTTGAGATTTGCTTTGAAAAACGTTATTAAAATGTAATGGTAAAAATTAAAGCTTGCGCAGATGCATATAGCTGCTCAACCAAAATTACTTTTTGTTCGTCAAGAAAATAACAAAAAACAACGACAGAATGATTGACTCTGCTCACTTAGCCAGCAAAAAATCAACCATTGTTCATAACTACATCAAACTAAAAAAATTGTTTCTCTAACTTTGACCACAAAATATTAAACAATACAAAACAATAGCTATGGGTGCATGTTCTTCAAGCGAGGCCATTAATGGTATGACCAGTCCGCGACTTATCTCGGAGAAGGAAGCAGTCTCGAAGCGTGATCAAATTCCTTTTTTCAAGCTGATAGTTGTCGGAGAGAGCGGTAGTGGTAAGACGACAATCATTAACGCTATCTGTGGCAAGAGTCTAACGTCTTCAGTAAAGGCTACAAAAACTCCTCTAACTTCTAATTTTGGTAAGAACACGGATTTTTTCAAATCGATTTTTTGAGAATTTGCGACAAATAATTTATTTCTCTCAGCGCTTCATTTAGCCTAGAATTTATAAACTTCTTAGACAAAACTTATATACACAGCAAAATTTTCGGTTTTTTAGCCGTCATTAGATTTTTCCTTTCAGAATATAACCTCGCCAAGGATTCAATGAAGATCGGCATCTCTGTCACCGAAGTACCGCCGGCCACTCCAGTCAAAACGAAACAATTTTATTATCAAGGTTGGCTCATTTTAGAGATAGTACATGGAACTGATCGAGACAATTAGCTGGATGACTAATTTCGGCAAGACTTTGAGTTGAGCAAATTTTGAACTTAGCTTTAGGAGCATTGAAGGCAATTAGTCAATTATGTCTTCAATTGAAAATGTTTTCAAAACGTGCTGTTTTAGACTTAGACGGTGCAATACTGGTAGTTGACCTTTCGGATTCCTCGTCGTTGAGACTGAGTGGAACCTGGAAAAGAGACATCTTAACCAAAGCCACTCAAAGTGATGTTAAAACAAGCATCAAACACACATCATCATCTCAACACAGCCAAAAATTGAGGAAAAAAGGAAAATCAGATGGTAAAAGTGTGAACAAGAAAAGCTCACGCGGTGATGACATCATAAATGATGTAATGAATATCCTTACGTCAGAGGACGAGGGGAGCAGTGAACTCGGCAGTGACATTGAGCAGAAAGTTTCCGGAGTTGAGAAGCACTCTGATTTTCCGATTCTGTTAATAGGTAAGAAAGGAGAGTAACGCTTCATCATAAGACCGATTGCTTCAAAAAGCAAATCCAGAAAACTAACACTTAGAACATTTTTGGGGAGCACTAGCTGAGATTCGAGACTTTTTAATCAACAACATGAGAAACTACGAAGAAAGTTTTCAACTGAAACTCATGCTCCTCTAGGTGCTCTCAAAACAGCTTTAAGATTAAAAAAGGAACTTTGAACCATTCGAATATGAATACGTCCAAGCCCCAAAATCTCTCATCTAACGGTTATTGGATTTTCAAGGCCGAATTAGTTTCTGCCCTTAAAGTCAAAAGAGAGAATTTTAAGGCCATTTTACTAGGAAGTGTAAACCGAAACAGAAAAATGCGAAAACTGTCAATAGAGCGGATTCTGTAAATGGTTCCGTACAATCTTTTAACCAGCAATCAGATAAAATAATTTTTTAATTTGGCGTAATTATCGCCTGGACAGATGCTGATTTGAGCGACAAATATGATTACTCAGTTCTAAATGTGGAAAGAATTACATTTATGAAAATAACAAAAGAAATTGTTGATAATCGCCTTAGGAAAGGAGAATCATGAAAAGACAAATCCATTCTACAAGCTCAGCCATTTTTATAACGGAGAAGCTATTAAGCTTCGTCAGTTGAAAAAATGAGATTCCTTTTTTAAGATACAAACAGTAGATCAAAGCGACTTAGTATTTTTTGGCGGCCTTAGTGAATATTTAAGAAAAATTGTCGGAAAAGTCGAGAAACCAAACCGGTCAAACGGACGAATCACCGTACTCCTACTATCTGAAGAACGCGAGGGTAACATCATTAGAACCGACAACTTTCTCAATTCAAAAGGGATTTCTCCTCAAAGTGTAAGTTAACGCCATATGTAAATTATACCGAGAAAGTACCCGCATCCAAGTTTAGGCGTAAGTAATCGATTATAACGGATTATTATGATAATTTTTTGACAATTATAATTGATTATAATTGCCAAACTTAGGTGTTTTAAGGATTTATAATTGAATATAATCGTGATATTTTCCAAGACATTATAATCTCTTATAATCGATTATAATTGATTATAGTTCTTACAAAAAAGCCTTAAATCAATTATAATCGATTATAATCGATTATAATCTCTTATTTTGCCGAAATTTTGTCCATTCGAAACTATATTCGAATTATATCTTATGGGTTATTATTTTTTGTCAATAAGAAAATCTCTGAACACAAAGTTTTACCACGAAACAAAAGTTTCATGGAGATCTTTTCATATGAGTGGAAAGGTTCCCGTGGTAGATGAAAAATAAATCTTTCAAATCAATCAAAAAATTAAATCAATTTGCTGATGTTTTGGTGATTGAAAAAGAAAAAGCTTAAGATATGCATCTTAAACAACTTTAATTGGGAAGAAATGAAAAACAAAAACGTATAAAATTGAAATAATTCGAAAACATGAAAAAAAATTTTCTCATTTTTCATAGGAACCAACGTCTACAAAAAGTATAAAATATAAACAATTTAGATGCAACTTGAAAGACAAAATCGACAAACAAAAGGAATCATAAACAATTATATTCGATTATTAGGGATTTTTGTGCAAAACTAATGAACTAGAAATTTGAATAAATATAATGAATTATAATCAATTATAATCGATTATAATAGTATCGAAAAACAGACGAACAAATAATCGATTATAATCAATTATAATGGATTATAGTTAATTAAAATTTGATTTTAAAAAGAGAGTTTATAATCGAATATTAATATATGATTAAAATCGATTGTTTCTCAATTTTAGTAAGACTGGAACTAAAATCGTAATATAATCAATTATTAACGGTTGAAACTGGATGCGGGTACAACAAGATAAAATTTTTCTGGATTGTGAAATTAAAGTTTATTGTTCTAATGAATTCGAAAAAATAGAATTCAATTAAAAATCATGACTTCCAGAGCCCACTTAAGCAATACAATTGAAAGTGAGAAGGGTCACACTAATTGTACTACTTGCCGTAAGACAAGATTTTGTAAGACAAATATATCCGAGGGATATATCCAAGTTTTTGAATTTTGCAATGAAGAACACTCCATAAATCCTTTTGCATTTACGTATACTAAAGATGAATCGATAAAACTAGCTGAACTCAAAGACTTTTATCGAACTAAAACAACTCCATAAAAAAATTACCAAACGGCCAACAATCGCAAAATGATAGACAAGTTTGCAGCAAAAATTGCAAAAAACTCTGAGGGAGAGGTATAGTCCACATAACCGGACCGAAAACTGCATACATTCAAATAACTCTATACAACCCGACAAGCCAACAGGTGGTTGACTTATGCATAGTCGGTGGCAACATTTTTGAAAAACCAAGAAACCCAGCAATATGCAAAAAAAATAAGTTCAAGGAGACAAGGACCCATCCATTGGATCAGTTTCTCTTACAACATATCACATAGATGATAAATCAAATGGATTATCTGATTTCTCGAAAAAAAAACAAAGACATAACTAATCAAGTTTCATCTATTCTAAACCAAGCAGATCTTTGCAGTTAAATAGACAGAACGCCAGTTTTTTAATAAAAAAAACTGCACTGCCTAAAAATACCAAAAATGTGATCTTTTCCTTTAATTGATAAGACACTTGCTATAAGAAATATGTTAATTTTTCAAGAATAAAAGAAATTTTCGAATAATTCCTTGGATTTTTCAACGAATCTATTAAAATTGTACTAAAACTAGCAACCTTATAGCAACCTTTAAAATTGAAAAACCTTAGAACAAACGTCAATTTTCAATTGAATTTAATCATATTCCAACGCATTCGAGCTAATAAAAGCGGAAATAGTCAAACTAAAATGGAATGCAATTTTCGATGTCAAAGTCAATTGGAGAGTAAAAACAGACCTCTCAAACTGTGGGTTAGGCAATTCCTTAGAACTCAATGGAAGTGATTGGAAGACAGTTTCAAATGCCAACCATTTTTTAAACACATATGAAGTGAAATCCTCGACGAGCAAATTTGAGCACTTGGGACTGGTATGGGTCGCCGAACTTTGAAAATTTTTTTTTATAGGTCCTAATTTTAGGAAATAACAGAACACAAAAGCCTGTCGTCAGCACTTTCAAGCAACCGAGGAAAAAAAAAACGTATGGTAATTGGTTAACAGGCTGATTTTACACATTATTACCACTTAATTTTACATTGATTTTCCTCCCGAAGAAAAGTATGGGTTATTACTACTGATCGATCTAGTTTCTAGAATTCCAATGGAAAAAAATTACCACAAAATGACATTTTTTTTGAAGAACTTCTAATCACAAGCTAAAAAACTTAAATTTATTTTCAATTCCAAATGATGTACAAAGTATTACTTTACAAAGTCTTGTGTGTTGCAGCGCAAATGTAAATGTGCGAGAGTATAAATGCATATAAAAGTAAATACATACAGGGACAGTAGCCAAGCGTATACATGGTGCGTCCCGGCGGGTTCGGCGCCGGTTCGAATCCCGACTAGGTCATTTCCTTTCTAGAACTCGAATGTGCACCGAACTTGATGGGATGCTCCGTAACCAGGTTCGGTCCCCCCAAAACCCATTTTAACCGTCTTTTCGCTCTAATTTGGTTCAGCCTTGGTTATGGCTGACCTTTAAAAAGAGCAATTTGTCTCAAGGACAAATACTGGCCATTTTTGCAGCTTGCTTTGAGTTATGCAGTTTATTGTGGCCGATGTTACCGATGATAAAGTTTGTTAAAATTATCGTTATATTTTCAAATTTCCGTTATATTTCCGGAGTTATTTTGCCGAGAAAATACTCATTAATTAAAGTGTTTAAAAACCGTTTTTTTTTTATAATCTTGGAGATTGACGCGCACATTTTGGCGCCCCACAAGGGACAGAAGTCTTTTCTCACGAAGTCGACACAAGGGACATTGCTTCAGGTTTCAGTCAGAAATTCAACAGTCTTGTGTTTATTATTCCTGAAAAATTGATCCAAGAAGAAAGTAATCGAATTAAATCGTTGCAAATCAGATGACAATCAGTTCAGTTACGTAACTATTTTGGATGAGCCTGATCAAATTCAAGCTAAAGTTAGAAAAGCAGTTACAGGTTCGAACCCACGACTCGGAATCTAGACCGGGTGTGTCGAATCTTATCAACATTTTAGCGTCTCTGAAAAATCAATCTATTATTGACTCGCTGAAAGAAATCGAGTCTATGAATACGCTGCTACTGAAAAATCTGGTGTCAGATACCATTGTAGACCATTTGAGTCCCATTCGAAAGTTAGCATAGCGTACCCAGTTGGCCGACAGACGACTTAGCAGACGGACGAAAAAGCAGACTGACTAGCGGAAGAGAGGCCTGTTCAGGTGTCCTGATTGCTGACTTTTGGTCAAAGTGGAGCTGTGTTTTTCTCGACACCCGAAGTTTTTGGATTTTACCCGGTGACGCCAATCTCCAAAACCGTCAAAAACTGTAAGACTCATCTAGTTTTTTATAATTTTTCTTTTGTGCAATAAAATTACATACGGTGTCTGATTGTGTATCCCAACTCAAAGCAAGCTACAAGTGGTAATTTTTTCTCGATACCAAAAATTTTTGGGTAATTGTGAATGGATTGAAAGTCCAGAAAAACGGAACATAGACAAAAGGTACTGGACTAGTTTTTTGGATTGGTTTGCGACTCGAACCTGCTGACCAAAATTTTCCGAAAAATTTTGGGAAAAAAGTAAGAAATTTCCAAAAAATCGTCAAAACGTCCCCATAATTCTGCGAAACTGTGCTGTAACATGACACCAACCTTATGGTAAGTGGTCTGGTAGCGAAATATCAGGCAAATTAAGTTGAGTTTTTTCATCCTCAGGTTTTTTCCGCGTGTGTTGTTGGAACTTAACCGATTTGCCTGATTCTCCAACCCCATTGGTAAACTTAAGGTTTACAACGACTTGATACCTGTTTGCATCCGTTCGCTTTTCAAAACATTCGTTTC